TTGAATTTATAAATATTAGTATAAAACAATGGTGCAAAGTAACTGTTCTTCACTTAAACAAGTCTGTATAAGGCAATTCAGTAATAAAAAAATTAATGAAAGTTATGTTTTACAAACCAAATTATAGGAAGAAACGAGAAAAATAAACTGTCTTGTCGCTTATAATCTCATAGGCTGTGGTAGGTTGGCCAAGTTGGGTAGGTATTTGCCTCATCGCCCCTGGGTTGTTGATACATTTCACCTGATGCATGGAGACTGTAGTTTGGAACTCTTTCAGTACCAGCCATCACTGAACCTGTGGGCTGATGGTACATATGACTTGGCCCAGGGGAATTCAGTGCGGGAAGATTATTCATCGGCATGCCTTGACTTTGAGCAGTGAAATTAGGGGTAAATGCTTGACTCCCAGTACCAGACATAAACAATTGAAATAGACGCATTTCACGCTCTCTGGCTCGTTCATTTTCTTCCCGAAAAAATTTCCGAAGGTCAGCAGTAGTGTCCTGCTGGGACATATCTTTCAGAACCTCGACAACAGACGTCATAATGTCTTCCTTCTTTTTCTTTTCCTTGGATCTTTTTCTGGGGACAAAAAGGTTTTTGCCTTCGTCCTCTGGACTGGTTTCAGTACTCGCCGAGCTCGAGGCATTGCGACTGGAGGAAGGCTCCTCTGCAAGCTCTGGGTTGCAAGAATCTCTTGACTGCACCAAGGAAAATAACTGGTTGAACCATGGCCCATAACCACGATCTTCTTGAATTCTTTTAACACCAGTCGCCGTCTTGATAGTCAGTGCAAGTTTCTTGCACTCGGCTACACAACGTTTAAATTTTGTTCGCATTCGTCCAGTCGAGAAGGGAAAACTACTCGAGCCTTTGTATCGCTTCTCGACTTCCTTCAATACTTGAACATACACTTCGTTGTTTCTGGTGTTTTTGGAGTTTGTGAAAATCAGCTTCCTAGAAAAGTTGTCGTTGGAGCAAATAACATCTACCATGTCGGCGACGTGACAATCTCGCCATTGCGCTTTTCTGCCTCGTCTCTTTTTATTCGGCGGGGCCAAATTTTCATTGTCAGACAAAGAAAAAGAGCTTTCTTTCCTTCGTGACGCCATCTTTTTATAGCTAGCCTCAGTCTACGCATGCTCAATACATTAACATAATGTATGAATTAAATTCGACACGGCAGAAATTCGACGTTTGAATCGGTGTCGCATTTCTGTCGGATAATGCGACAAGACTAGTCGAACGTGCAGCAGAAATGCGGCAGCCGATTCAGACGTCGAATTTCTGCCGAATTTAATTCGTTGAATTGAATTCGACACGGCAGAAATGCGACGTATGAACCGGGCCTAAGAGATAGTTCCATTCAATGGAATCAAACACTTTTTTGAAGTCCAAGAAAATGGCAATCCCTTTTTGATTTGTTTTATCTGTGTAATGTATTAGGTCATAAATTAGCCTTATATTTTCACCAATGTAGCGGCCTTTAACATAACCGGTTTGATCAGGGTTTATCAAAGTTGGCAAGACATTTTCGATTCGCTTGGCTATAACTTTAGTGAGAATCTTGTAGTCGACGTTGAGAAGTGAGATGGGCCTTAGATTTTCCAGAATAGTTTTATCCTTAAATTTTTTTGGGATAAGCGAGATTATTCCTCGTCTTTGACTTATAGAAAGCATGCCATGTTGAGAAGCAAAGTTGTAGCTCGCTATCAGATCATGGCAGATGTCGGGCCAAAAGAATCGGTAAAATTCAGCAGGCAGACCATCACTGCCCGGGGATTTGTTATTGTCAAAGTCTTTGAGTGCATTTTGGCATTCTTCTACCTTTACCAATCCTTCACAAGAATTCTTTTCTTCTTCACTTAGTGCGGTTACGTTTTCTGGACTAAAAAAAAGGCGAGTTTTTAAAATTTTCGGGGTTGATATTGGTGGAGCGGTATATCGACTCATAGAACTTTTTTTCTTCTTCTAAGATATCGAATTGATCTTCTATATAACAATTATCCCCAACTTTGAGTTTTGAGACTGTTTTAATATCATGATGTCGTTTTTCTAAGCTGTAGAAGTACTTAGTGTTGCGTTCTCCTTCTTCATGCCATCTTACTTTGCTTCTCAGGATTGCACCTTGAGTTTTAATCAACATGATTTTTTTAAGATGTGATCTGGCACGTTGAAGTTCTAGTAAGATGTTTCTGTCGTGCGGGTTATTTTCCGCTCTGGATTGGAGGTCGTTTACTTTTTTGTGCAGTAAATTTTCTTCATCTCGATATTTTTTTGCTTTTCGTTTGGAGTACTTGATCGTTAAGCCTCTTATCTCCATTTTTATGAGGTCCCATTTTAAACTTAAATCATGAGTCTTGTTGTATTTCTCTTTAAAAATTGGAATGTTTATCTTAAGTGCTGTTACGTATGCTTCATCTTTAAGTAAAGCTGTATTAAATTTCCAGAATCCCGGTCCTCTTTTTTGGTCTAGGAGATTAGACTGTAGAACAAGTGAGACAGCGGAGTGGTCAGATTCGGGTGTGTGGATGATGTCACACTTCTTTGCTAATTGAATTAACTCCTGGGAAACTAAGAACAAATCTAAGCGGCATTGAATTTTAACGATTTAGTTCTCCACGTAAAACACTGCTTATCATTGTTCAGGATTCGCCACATATCACTAAGGTTATACAAAGCACAAAGCGTGTTAATTTCTTGGATGACAGCTGCCTTTTTAGACATAGGATTTCCGCCTCTTTTATCGTTTGGAGTGAGTGCGCAATTGAAATCTCCACCAATTACAATTGTATCTTGCGCGAATTCCTCGAGTTGTTGGTATAGTCTTTTGAAAAAAGAAACTTGCTGAGCGACATCGTTGGGCGCGTAAATGTTGACGAGAACGATAGCTTTCTCTTCAAGTGACAATTTTAAAATAATGAACCTTCCTTGTTTGTCTGGAATGAATTTTCAACTTTGAAATTCACAGAGGGATTAATTAGCGTGATGATACCTTTACTGCGGTTTGTGCCGTGGCTAAATAAAGCTTTGCCACCCCATTCGTTTTCCCAGATGGGTTCAAGATTTTTGGAGCAGAATGATTCTTGCAAAAATATGATATGATGATTTTGTTTGTGTAACCATCGAAAAACGGTTCGACGTTTGATCGATTTATTAAGACCTTTTTTTAGGTCACAAGCAATGGCAGTATTAACGGTATTCATTTTGTTGGCGATTTAAAGAAACACAAGCCAGGCGGAGTGATAAGTAAACCCTGATTTCTTCCGACCGAATTGTGTTGATTCACAACAAATTGGGACATGAACCAATTTGTAATTTTCGCTGATGGGCTGTTACGAGAATGTGAACGAATAGAAAAAGAAGGTGGTTGTTTCAACCGAAGCGTGTCGGTGTAACATGTAAAGCAAAGAAAGTGAAGCATAATAAACTTAAAGACTACAACAACTACATAGTGCTTATGTAATAACATGAAACAAAAAGGAAATTTGGATACTTAGCTCGATGAGATAGAGTCACTAACCCGGCACAGTTTTCCAGGCTTCTTGTCGACTTTGAATGTCTTCAATAAGATAACAAAATTAAGTAGAAGCTACTTGATATTCAACTGGAATATTCGAGATGTTAAAAACATTGTTATCAATAAAGAGAGATCTGTTGACTACCTTCGCGACGCGACCAGCTTGTTTAGCAGCAAACATGGATTGTATAAGGGTTTTCCTTTCTTTCTGGATTTCTCGAGCAAAGTCTTGGGTAATGTATGCCTCACTGTGTCTGGCTGAGGACTTGATCCGGTTTTTAACATTGAATACAGCATCCCTATCTTCTCTCACAGCAAACCTAGCGATAATTGGACGAGGGCGAGCAGGAGTAGCTCCATTGCTTTGTGGCTTGCCAACGCGGTGGATGGCATGAAAACGTATATGCTGGATGTTCATTTTAAGATCATTTTCTAGAACATCATAGATGATATTCTGGCAATTTTCGCCTCGACTGTCCAATTGCTGAAGATGTCATGCCACGACAGTTGACATGGGGGCATGAAAAAGAAAAGCGAGCACCTGGGTCTTTACATAAAAAAACAGAACAAAAATCATGAGAAGTTGTTAATAGAAAAAAGTGGACTCATTGTAAACACATTATGGCCCTTCTTGGGAGCCAGTCCTGATGGTATAAGGATTTGCGCTTGCTGCCAAAAGAAGTTAATTGAAGGTAAAAGCATGTATACAAAAAAATTCTGCCTTTTTGCCTAATTTAAAATCTCTAGGCTATGGGTAGCAATTTTATTTACTTGTTAATGATGATGAAATGAAAACGTTTAGGCACTGGATTTGAACTTTTTCAAGTCTATCCGTAATCAGTTGTCGTAATCTCTCTGACACAACAAGGCTGGCCTGGATCTTCACAGATGACTCCTTTCCTGATACCTTAGTACAAACGGGGTTCAGATGGTAGTGTCTTGTTGAAGTCGTTAGTTGCCACTGCTTTGTTTCCTTTCTCCAAAAGTGATAGGCTTCAAATCGGACAAAACAACAGTTCTGATCGTTACCTTCATGATAACCAGCAACAGCAGACGTGATTTGCTTGAAACACCCGCACACTTACGAATTTTTCCTTATATTTCTTTCAGCACTAGTGGTGCACTAGATCAGGCCTGGCCGATTTCCTGATGACAAAGGTTGTTGGATTCAAAACCTCCGCTTGTAAAGGAGATCCAGATGCTCTCTCTTTTACCTGTGAGTGTGACCCCATGACAACATCATCCAGTGGGCGCTTCCGAGATGGAGCCTTTGCCCTAACATTCTTTGGGGCTGTTGAGGTGGATATTTTGTTTAAGCTTCGGCCTTTATATGCCTGAACAACCTTTTGGACACAACCACGATGAATGGCAACAGCTAGGCTATGAAAGCACAGGTTGTTTCTGTTAAAGAAATTGCAACCACAAGAACATTTGCCACTTTTCAAGCATTGCATTTGATATGGCAGTGGTCCTTCGCTATCTACAAAGAAAACTCCTTCCTGGAAACCCTCACGAAATTTCGCATTGTGCAGGATGCTCTTCGCTTTTTCAAGCAGACTTGCCTGTTCCTCCTTAGAGAACAGGCCATCAAGTGGGGCAAGCTCACTGATGTCGCAGAAAACTGATTTGATGCGCTCTCACCTGAAGTGGTGGTACATGAAGCAGCTCTGAACTGGAATGAGTGACGCCGCTTGTAAGCCCCCGGGTCTGGACACACTTTGTCCACGTCCTGCATAAAACCCTTCCTTTCTTCAGGGGTCATTTCTCCGTGGCTTTTACTAGATACTTTAGGTAGTGTTGAAACTGTGCACAAACTTCCCACTTGTCAGATAGCTGGAACCAGTCAAGTTCCTCTTCCTGATCGAAGGATTCCACAAAGTCGTATACATTGACGATGAACTTGTTCATATCTTGTGGAACGAAATTAGACCAATCCTTCAACATGTCATTAATGGACCCAGGAATGTTTTGCTGGTAGGGCTTGTCGCCTAAGCCAAGGCCTTTCATCATATACCTTGCCATCCTGGTCTGCATATCTTCCAACTTTTGTGCTCGAAAGTATTCTGCAAACATCGGTGAACCATCCTTCTCTGATCTCTCCAACGTATCCCATTCCTCCATAAGGACTTTTGCCCTTGCATCGAACGCCTCTCTAGAGCTGGACCAAATAAGACCACTCCCTTATCGGTAAAGATCTTGACATATGCGTTCAACAGGTGCTGATAACATACCCAATTTTCTTCCCCTGGCTCTAACATTTCTTTCACTATGAATGTAACACAGCAATAGTGCAGCACGCTGAAAACCGGCACCATGGGTGTTTATGAGGGCACGTTCACCGTCGGTTCCAGCGGCATGAAGGTGTTCAGATAAACCTGGAATCTCACGAGTGAAGCAGTGGATGAAGGAAAGATAGGTCGTCTCTTCCTTTGTAAGACAAATCATGACAGGGGCAATACAGCATGGATGGCGATCTGTTCCTTTCACTTTGAGGACGGTGTTTTCTTCTGTGGCTGCAGAACTTGACGATATTGTTCAGCTGACGATTTGTGAAGAGCATTACCGTTGGGAGGTCGTTGCAAACGATTTCAGGTATGAAACCACGAAATGTAGTTTTTTGTAGCTCCATGACAGATGCAAGTGGATCCTTGTTAGCTGGTCCTGCCTCTTGCTGTTTCTTCTTAATGTACTTGACTTGATTTTCATTACGTGGGAGAGTTCCAGTACTATCCACACCAAAGACACCAACAGCCTCCTTCGTCACTTGAAATAAAGCTCTCTTTGGCCCATAGTGCTGTGCCTTTGCTTCAATCGACTGTTTGGTGCTCGCTTTGGTTCGTTCGTATGGCATGTTGGAAGATGTACGGTTACCATGCTTTTCTACTTTGAATTTGGTAGGTTTGCCGTCAAATTGGTAGTAGAGAAGTATAAGTGGGAACCACTTGTCAATGTCCTTTCCATATTCGATTGACACAATGGTCTTGTGGTACCACTAATACAAAGAACACGTGTATATTCTTCTCCGGACAACAACGTCACAATTGCTCTGATCGTGAACTCTTTGTAGCTCGGCTACTCTTCCGTTCTCATCTTTAACAATGCTGTAGTATTTGGGCCTACAGCCAGTCATCTTCCAAGCTCCATTTTCGTCAGCGTACAAATCTGATCTGTTTGCTAAAGTACTGATGTTTAGGACAAAAGTCGCGTTTTGTTGGATCCCTGTAGGCACCGCTGTACTGATCAGGTGCTCATTATCACTTTGGCAGTTGAAAAGAAAGGGGGGATGAAGGGGTTTTCCACGGAATCAAAATCGACAATTTTGCATTTGACATTTGCATTGTAAAGCTCCAATTTGTTAATAGGCTTTTCAGGTCATTTGGATACGTTTATGCTCTCCGTGTCATCTTCATGTGCATCTTCAACACTTTCACTGGCCTGTAAAAGATATTTCAAACAAAATTCACCTAACAAACTACCATTGGAAGCAAACGACCAGGTGACACTTTATGCTATCAAAGGACATTTTGTTGTGTTTTTCGGTGACTGACAAAGATTCACTAATTTAGCTGAGTATCAGGGGCAGATCTAGGGGGAGGGTGCTGGGGGTGCGTACCCCCCCCCCCTTGAGATGAATCCTTCCGAAGAAAAATCCTGAATCCGCCCCTGAGTATTGATTTCTTGGGATTTTGGCTATTTTCAACATAAATTTAAACATTTATATCCATCTCCTTCTCATAAGACGTGTTTTGTTGAAATAAATGCAATTATATGGCATAGATTCAAACCAAAATTGCATAAAAAAAACAGACTTCCATAACAGTCCCCTTAAAGTATTTCCTCCCCTTTTGCCAACCGGAATTGGTGATGGAAAATATAAAAGTGACCTACCTCATACATTGCTATCCAGTCATCAACATCAACCTGACATTCTGCCACCCGATGAGAAGTTTAGGCCTCACGGAAAGATACCTCACCCGTGGAAACCGTAACCCCCTGAAATCTCAGACATGCGTAGATTACATTACTTTGTAACACTGCCTGATAAAAGGAACCCTCATGCCGAGGGTTGTTTACATCAAAGTTGCAGATTTGTGTTAATTGATTGCCGGCCGACTCGCTGACGAGAACTCCTGATGGCTCGTAAAAGACCTCACGGCAGCCAGTTTTCTAGTAAAAATCAGCCACCAGCCAAAAAGAAGCAGAGAAAAAATGAAGATTATTTTGAAAAAGTTGAAAAAAAAGCGTTGCGGTGCAAGTTTGCAACTTTTTAACTGAAGAAAAAAATGATCGACTCAAGAGAGAATGCAAGAGTTTTAGGTCTGAAAACGCCAATCTAAAAGGAACAGTCAAAACCTTACGACGCAGTATAGGTAAGTGATATTATTTCAGGAGGGAATGGAAATGCAAGGACTTGCAAATGTCTAAGAATAATACTGCAGATTGCCTGAGCCACGAACTACGGTGAATGATTTTCATTCCCATTCTGAATTTTCGGCGGTTGCAACTTACGCGATCGCTAATAACACTACTTTAAGAGGATTTTAATCATAAACCGATAATACTCCCACCGAACAGAAGCCGAAAAAAAAAACTTCTCGAAAACAAAGACAAAGTAGTCGATATGGCTGCATGGTCAGTATTTTCAGGCTTTTTCTTGCTTAACTATTTGGAGCGGCGATTAACGCAAGGGAGGAGTACGCGCACTCAAAAGCGAAAAAATTAAACTGCGGACTAGATTCCCTCTAAAAGTTCGTACCTAAGAAAATATATGTATAGGCAAGTTAATTTTTTCGGTCAGCAGATCATGAGGACGCGTATCTTTGAGTGTCACAAAGTATCGAGAGTTTTACGAGTGAAGTTTTGAGGCTTGTATTAGAAGTTTTTATTAACTTGAACAAAATTATCTGCGTACGGACCACCGTGGAAACACAATAGTTTCAATTATTCAACCTTGCAATTGTGATAACAATGTTTTTGCCAAATTTAAACTACACATTCTAAATATACCTGGTCGATAAGATTTCTGGTAGGACATTTTAACTTTGTATTCTGTTTCAATACTCTATCATGTGAAATCAGTTACATTTAACTAATTTTCATTGTGTCACCTTTTCATAATTTCAGTATTTGTAAAAGGAAGGAACATCCAATTGAAAAAGGACGTGTTGAGGCTTCAAACTCAACTGAAAAAGTGTCAAAAAATCTGACGTCTACTGAAAAAAAGGAAAAACAAGTCAGACACAAGCTAAGAGGGACAAGATCTCCTTCCTCAAAGCTAAAACAGAAATTACAGGGCAACAGTGAAATTGCCAAAAAAGGGGCATTCCCTTGTGGAGACATTTGCTCATGGTCACAATGGACACAACCATAGGACCTTGATGTTTATGGCTTGTGTCAGATACATGCAGCATGCATCTTTGTTATCATATCAAAAGACACCTGTAGCATTACATCTGATTTTCAATATTTTGTTCAATTGTAGCCCCCCAACAAACTTCATTGTCTCCCCAACTACACTTTCTGACTGGAATGTTCTCTTAGGTGAAGCCGACAAACTAATTTTACGCAAGCGCTTTTCAAATTCCAAGTATGATTTTCATCTCTGGAGCGATGACTCCCACAAAGGAGGAGAGGAGAGGCACGTAGTGGGTGTTCACACCTGGTGTCCCTTAGAGAGCAAGCCACGAGCTTATGTCCTTGCAAACAGCCTAACAGCAAGCGGGTCTGGAAACCACCAGTCTGATGTAGATTACCATGTTGTAAAAAATGAATATGATATTACCAATGTTTCAGGGTTGGTTGGGTACAATGCCTCTACCCAAAAGGGAAAAGTAAACGGTCTTTTAGCTAACAATGACAGAATTTTTGGAAAAGAGATGTTTTTTGTAGGATGCTACCCACATGTACTAAACATTATGCTGAGAAGAATATGCCAGGCTGGGTTTGGGGCCAAGGGTGACATGAGCAACCCCCATGTTTTACAATTACTCTATAAAATATCTTGGCTCCATCATGAGCGTCCAAGCCAATACAAAGGTATGTATGTTTCTCTTGGTATTCTAAGTAAAGAGCCACCCCTTCCCCAGACATTCATAGACATAAGGTGGACATATTATCATGAAACTCTCCAGTGGTATCTTAAGTATGGAAAAGCTTGTTTACAGCTCGCTGAGTGTCTCCTTGAAAGATTGCCAAAATCAGATAGCCACCAGACTTTTTGGCAAGATATCATTAAGCTGAGCTCCAGTCCTATGATTCAAGTTGAAATCAAGTTTTTGTTTGAATTCCTCGATAAGTTTATCATCCCATCTCCGAATACATTCCAAGCTAGTGATGCAGTACTTGGATTCTCCAGTGGTTACCTAGCAAGGTTATGGCCAGCAACTGTTCTGAAGCACCATGAAACTTTAAGTAAAATGTTGATGTCTCCTGCAGAATATTTTCCTTTAACATCACAACAGGTGAAGATGTCATTGAAGGACCCAGCAGCTATCAACCACTTTCACAAACAAGTGCAGAGGCCAATGTTACAAGAAGCAATTAAAGTAATCAAAGATCATGGAGCAGAGTGGTTAACGTTTCCCAAGTTGTTTGGAATGGGAGCTGATCAGAGATACCAAAGTCCTTTCTGGCATTCAGTTTTAAAGCTTCTTGAAATTCCAGTCAGAATCACCAAGAAAAGTCAGTGAACAATCTCTTTCATGTACATGAACAGAACATTCTAACATTGGTGTCTAAGGATAGAGTTGGATTGATTAAATGGGCCACTCTTGAAAAATTGATGGAACCACAATTGCTCAGTGAGATCAAAGAAATTGCTTCATCACCACACAGCTCACTCATAAGTAAAGAAGCCACTCCAAACCTGTTTGAGTTCTATGCCAAGCACATTTTCAGTCTTCCAGTTAACAATGTTCTTGCTGAAAGACAGTTCAATCTTTCTCAACTGTATCTTAATGATAACATGTCAGAGTTATCAAAACAGGCCTCAATCACATGTGTTGAAAATATTCTGCATAGTGGAAAAACCAACACCAGGACCACAGAAGCACCACGTGAAGTTCATGAAGAAAGAATGAAAGATTATACCCAAATGCTCACCACAGATGTTTTGCAAGAGGCAAGAAAGAACCTAAACAAGATTAGAGAAAACTGCACACATGGGCCGCTTACTGCAAAGGATGTTTACCCTAGAGCTTGGGTAGAGAAGAAAGTAAACAATAACTTACCAGAAACAATTCAGTCACTAAAAGCAGATGGTCGCAAACTTAAACTTCAATGAAAGGCTTCTGCCAAGGGAACATCTGCACTGGAGGGACAGAGGTCATTCCACCCAACAGTAATTGAGGGAGTTATCTGTACACCTGATGGACAACTTCCAAGACTCATGCAGCTAGCGGCACTAAAGGTGTGGAACTATGGGGAGGGGCTACCAATTTACGATCTACCAAGAGAATGCCAGTTGTTCCAAATGTCTTCCAGCCTCCAACTACTCATCTTTCCACATCCCACATGTCTGAACATGTTACGCCGTTGCCTGCACATGAAGAGTAGAGAAGTCATGAGGGGTGGCTCAGTAATTTTTAAATGTTTTAGATTTGCACATATAAGAATTAATTTCACCGACCTCACTGCATGAAATAAATATATCTCAGCATGTATGCATTTTTAGACACACAGATGCATTTAATAATTGATTAATGTTTCAACACAACATGTTAGAATTAACCTGGCAAAAGCACGTTGTATATGCCATGTTAGTAAAGTGAACATAGCTTAATATCTTAGTATATGTACAAGTAGCATGTTAGCTTTTTGGTTTACAACATTGCAACTGGTTTTACAGGGTAA